AAAAGTTTCTTCTGTTTGAAAAGATTGAGCTAGAGATAAACATTAAAAGTAAAATACCATTCTTAATTACTAGCAAGAGTTTAGGTAAATAAATACAATTAAAGATAGTAATAAACAATGATTTCCTCAGTGATGGCATTAATTGTGTTGCTCAAATACCTGAATGCTAATTTTTTTCTTTTCTCTTTGAGTTTTTAGGGGAATTTTTCTAAGGGCTACAGCATTGCTTTTTGCTTATTCAATTGTATTGTCTCCACAGTGTCTACTTGGAAATGATAATTTAGTAAAATCTCATAATTTCATATTTTATACAGTGCAATTAAGTATAAAATTTCAAGATAATAGATATGTCTGTGTGGCACTGAAATAATAATTTTAACTGAAGCCTCAAACATTTTCTTGAGTATTACTTATATAGGTATTAAAATTTCCCTGTGAGTTGCCACACATCTGCTAACTGGTAACTTCCCTGAGAAAATTGAGAAAGTAAGAATTTAAGTGAGAGGAAAGTGGTCAGAATTGGTCTGCACACTTGGTCACCAGTACCTGTCACATGCTTGCTGTAGACTGGGCACTGAGCAGAGAACAGGGAATAAATCAGAACCCAGACTCCATGGGACTTGTTTAAAGTGGAAGAGAGGAAGTAGATAACTAATTATAAAACTATGCCATGTGCCATGAAAAACAAGTGGAGACAAATGGAGACAAGTCTTAACCTGCACTTCATTGATTTGGGGACTTGTCAGTAAAGACTTCTCTGAATATATGACAGGATAAATTACCTAAAACAGACTGCAGCCTTATTCAGGTAAAGAGATGCAGTAGGAACTCCCTAGGCTGAGAAAGCCCCACATGGGAAGATACTGAGGTAGAAATGAATGTGATGAGTTTCGGGAATAGGTCAAGGTGACTAAGCGCAGTGAAAGGAAGAGGGTGACTCAAAATGAGGCTAGATTTAAGAACCAAGGGTCATATCCTGCATAGCTTGTGACCATGCTAGGAATTTTTCATTTTAAATACAAGGGTAAATCATGAAAATATTTTTTGAGGCGGTTTTTCACTATGTAGCCCAAGCTGGCCTCAAACTCAAAATTCTCTTGCCTCTGCTTTCTGGTGCTGGGATTGTAGGTGTGCACCACCATGTCCAGCTCCTTGGAAGGATTTTGATCACATGGCCATATTTGTGTCTTTAAAATATTTCTTTGGCTACTAGGTAGGGAATGAATTGGAAACAGGCAAGGAAAGAAATTGGTAGGATATTAGAATCCCATGTCAAAAGGCTATGAGATAAGATAGATGGGACTAAGGTGATGAAGGTGGTAGAATTAGAGAAAAGTGGATAAATTTAAGATATGTACTGAAGGTGGTACTGATAGGATGTGATAATGGACTGGACTGGATTTAAGAGAGAATGAGGACACAGGAAATGTCAAAAATAACATCTATATTTTGGAGGTGGTATTGGGGTTTGAACTCTGGACCTTGCTTGTTAGGTGGGTACCAAACCACTTTTGCTTTATTTATTTTTTTAAGAGAGTCTTGCACTTTTTGTCCAGGGTTGGCCTCAGACCACAGTCCCCTACCTATGCCTCCCTCATAGCTGGGATTACACATATGTGCTACCACACCTGGCACATTTTTCAAATGGGAGTCTCACTAGCTTTTTGCTCAGGCTGGCATCAAACTGCAATCCTCCAAATCTCTGCCTCCCAAGTAGCTGAAATTATAGGCATGTGCCACCACATCCAGCTCATGCTATCTTTTTGACATAGAATCTGGTTGGTTAGTAGTTGATAGTGTCATTTAATGGCATGGCAGAACCATGAAGAAAGAGCAGGGGTGAGGGGCAGGGGCCAGGGCTAAGACATGGAGATCAAGAATCCAGTTTTGAGACTAGTAAATCTCACTTGTGTTCTAAGTGTTTAACTTACATTTTATGGTAGCATAGCCATTTTCCCAATCTTTTTGGTCCATGTTTTCTTTCACTAGGAAACTCTTGACATAGATCACAGAGCTTGTTGATCTAAGATGCTATTTTCAATCTAGAGTCAATGAAAAACATAATGAAAATTAAATTTTAAGTTAAGATGCCTAAGAAAGTATTTTAGACTTTCTGCCACAGATTGCTGAACATTATGTACTTAGTCAGCTATTATTAACATTATGTACTTAGCTATTATTATTACCCAGCATTATGGCTAACCTTCCAGAACATGGGAATCTGCCTTCCCAGAACATACTACCCACAATGTTAGCCTAAACTTTTCTATATAATAAGATTTCAGATGTTCTCTCTAGTATGCAAATTTAGGGGATCAGATGCATGTATCCTTTATCCAAAACTCATTAAAAAGAGTAACTCTCAGTGATTCACATGCTGGAACTACATGTTGAGAGTATCTGAATGGCTCAAGAGGGAAACATGCCCAGGAAAAGGTAGTGGGGTAGGAGTCATTATTTACCCCAGAAGCCCATGAGAGAAAATTTCAAAATCTAGTGAATATATAAAAAATAGCCTATCTCTTTTGACAAAGGAAAAGGGTGTCCCAGAAGTTTCATAATATCTGTGTTATGGTTGAGTAATGGATCACAGCACATAAAAACAATGGAGTTGCTAGAAACAGTGGCTCACATCTGTGATCCCAGCTACTCAGGAGGTGGAGATCAAGAGGATTATGGTTCAAGGCCAGCCCAGGCAAAAACATTAGACCTTATCTGAAAAATAACTTAAGCAAAAAAAGGCTGGAGATATTGCTCAAGTATTAAAACCCCTGCCAACCAAGCACAAAGTCCTGAGCTCACTCCAGTACTGCCAGAAAAATAAAAATAAAGAGCAATGGAGGGAAGATAGTAATGACGACAATAATAAAGAGCATTTGTTGATTGTGTGTCACATTTCAGGAACCCCACTAAATGTGTTCCCTGTCTTATTTAATTACCTCTGAACCCTCTGGGGTAAGTACTCTTCTATCTAGCATTTTAGAAACTAAAGCATGAGGTCATACTTAGGTCAGAGGTCATACTTAGGTCAAAGGTCATTTGCCAAATGCCACATAGATAGTAAATGAGAGTGAAATAGCCAGATATGTCTGAGTCCAGGGGTGGAGTTTTCCACCACTCACCACACTGTACCAGCACACCAATAAAGGATGAGACTTTACTGCCAACAGCTAGAAGGAAAACCAAAAACAGTATGTATATTAGTTGGGGAATATTGTTTAGCACTTCAAAACAAGGGAAATGTTGCTGCTAAAGTATCTTTTTATTATATCGGGTTCCTGAAGATACTGACTACTTATAGGCATTTATAACTACCTTGAGCTCTTGATCAATATAGGTTTTTACAAATTTGCAGGCATTTGAATTGTATGATGTAGCTCTAGTCATTGTGAATTTTATCCTTGCTTTTTCCCATACTCCTCAAAAAATTCTTGTGATTGTTCATTTTTTCTTTTAAAACCTTTTTTTATTGGTGTGCTGGATGGGGGTACATTGTGGCATTTACAAAAGTTCTTACAATATATCAAATACCATACTTGAATTCACCCCCTTCACCATTCTCCTTTATTTCCCTTCCCCCCATTCCTGGAACAGTTTCAGCAGGTCTCATTTTTGCATTTCATACATATGTACCAAGTATTTGCACCATATTCACCCTCACACACCCTTTCCCTACATCCCTCCTTCCCACTGGTGCCAACCGCCCAGACAGGACCTGTTTTGCCCTCCTGTTCTCCAGTTTTGGAAAAAAAAATGAAATCTTTGTTGAAGATAGCTCTGTGTTCCAGTGCATCACATCCTTCCTTTCCCTTTTTGTTATTATTTTGGTTGTAAAACAAAGCTAGCCACACCTCTTTAACTTTTTCAATATATATTTGTAACACATTGCTGTAGCTCAATCCACTTAACAGCCTGATGTTATGGTTCTCTGTATGTGAAATTGCTCTGTGGCATGAAGAAAGCTTCAAGGGAAGCTTATTAAAGTGGAACCTTTGAAAACTATCAAACAATTGAAAAATACAAACAGAAAAATTAAAAACCCATTCAGGAAAGACAAATATGTCAACACTGAAACTGTAGGAGTTCTTTTTCTAAAAAACATGTTTCATTGTTTATGCTTGAGTTATTTTCCTCTATGCCAAAGAGCAATGAATAAGGACTAATGGCCACTTCAAGCAGAGAAGAAAAATTACAACTATACTAAGTTGTCCCAAGCCCCTTCCAAAATAATCCAGAGTTCATGTAGATTTATTTTGGGAATGGACAGAACTTGAGCAGGACCAATTGAAAAAAGAAGCATTGTGATGCATGATGGGTTACTTCATGATTGCAGTGTTTCTATATTTGTAAATTTGAAACTTTTTTAAATGAACTTATTTTATACACTAAAGTTTGATTTCAAGTATACTAATTTCCCAGGTTATTTGGCTCTTTTGGTACCCTCTATTTTCACTATGAAGACTTTTATTTCAAAACAAATTGCTCTATAGAATTTTCTACATTACTTAACTAAAAGTGTCTTCTCTTGAGACAACATTGTCTGTTATAGGCTCACAGGCTGAGGGACCAATAGGAATGTGACAAACTTGGTAGAAACTGCAGCATACAAAATAAAACCCTGTGTCTGGTGAACGTGGAAGGTTCACTATTACTCTAATAAATAGTTTTATTCTTAGGAAAATGATGAATATGTTTGTAGCAAGTGTTTATTATTCAATTTGTTGAAATTGTGAGCAATAGAATAAAAACAAGTGGCTCTGACAAGGATGTGTTGAGTGGCGTTCACATCACCTCTCAAACACATATATCAAGATCAAGACTGGTGAAATGGTTACCAAGCTTCTTGAAGTCTAGAGGTCTTCATTTATCACTCTAGTTTTACAAACTAATTAGTAATGATGGATTTAAACAATTGTATTTATAACACATTTCAAAATTCTGGGGTGAAAATATGATCAAGACAAATCTTCGCACATTCTAATGAGTTTGTTTGGTCTTAGGAGCACGGCATTCCTACTGACATGGGCTATGCAGTGGCCCCTCACCATTCTGGTGTCTACCCTGTCCACGTTCAGCTTTACGAGGCCTGGAAGAAGGTTTGGAATATTAAAATCACCAGCACTGAAGAATATCCACATCTGAAACCAGCTAGGTATCGGAGAGGCTTCATTCACAAAAACATCATGGTGAGCTCCCTCCAGGATTCATAGAGTTGAAGTAATTCTTCCAGATTTCCCACATTTGTAGGAAGAAGAAAAAAAGAACAAAAAGTTACAGACAGAGCTATAGGAAAAGCTCCATTTTGTAGGAAGCGTATTGGTCACATCTAAGGAAAGGATCTTCCTATTACAATCACTTCAGTTCTTCAAATATACTTCAAAAATAGGGTTTTTTTCTGACTCTACTACTGATTAGCAGGCACTGATATGAAAACATTAAGAAAACATTACATCAAATTTGTAGATAATTTTGGAAGTCATCATTTCTTCAAAAAATAATTTTGCAGATAAAACTAATACCAACTCTATATTAACCATGCTGGCCTTTTATAAGCCAAACTGTGTTTTTCTTCTTACCATGCCAGGCTGAAAAAAACAAAACAAAACAAAACTCAACTATTTGCAGCAAGAAGCCACATTCGAAGTCCTGCTTAATCATTAACAGATGATAACACAGAGAATAAATGACAGATGATGTTAATTAGATCATTACTCTCCATTGCCTAATTCCCTCCAGATCCTCTCTGTTTTATTTTGCTTCTTCTACACTGGCAAAGGATATTGTTAAAATATGTTACTATCTAATATTTTGTGAGACCTTCCAAGTAAGTCATTAAATTTTAGTTTTTCCCTGAGTCAGGAAATCCAAGGAAAGCACTGTGAAGCTTGGAATGGTCTCCTAATTTAGACTCAAATAACAGAAAGAAACAGCCCAAGAACACTATGTGAACAACCGTGACAGTCAAACTGATACGCTTGAACAAATGTCAGCCTTCCAGAATTAGGTGTAACTGGCTTCTTTGTAGACAATTTTCTAATGTCTGCAGAAATTAGAGTGGATAATGACATTTAACTTGTATCAACTCACATCTTGACTTGTCCTTCAATTAAAAAAAATGTTATAAATGCTACTTGGGATATTATGGCCACATTTTATCCCACCCTGCCCTTCCTCTGTACTGAAAATGAATTTACTGTGTCTCATGTTGCCAGGCTTCTGACCAGAGAGAATTTAAAAGACCTGTCTTATATCATGATTTAAAAGCATTCCAATGTGCTTTTGTCATTTTAGAATCATAGGTAGCCTTACGATATGGGTGTTACTCTAAAGATTTTATTCAGTGTTTGCTTTGTTTCTGTTTCTGTACTGTTAGAAAACTTGCTAGGATATGACCATGAGATGTGTTTTTTTTTCTCCTGAAAAATATATTTTACCTGTATTTTAAATGCAAGAATCTTACAGACAATAAAGACTTCTACAGGTTTCCTGCTTTGATGGAATTGTCCCTGTGGTTATACTTTGCATGGAAAAGTTTGATTTGTGGGCTCTTGGGTGAGAATTTCCAAGTGAGAAATGTTCTATAGGCAGCTGATTATGCAATAAGAAAGAGAAACAAGGCCATCCAAATAGAGATATGAATGAGACCACAGGAGCCAAAGTGCCCTCCTACTGAGAGACAGAAAAGAAAAAAGGGGCAAGAAATTGAGGAATGAACCTTCTGTCAGACCCATATTTGGCTATATGAGGTGAGGGAAACTTTATGTTATGACACATTCACAAATCAAACTCAAAAGACTTACAAGAAAATTCATTATCTTCCCTACTGACCAGCTATTGATTCTGTTATCCTTGATTCAGTTCTGTAATTCAAACATCACACTGAGACCCCACTTCCAGTCAGTCTCTGAATCCTAGCAATAAGTCTTTTATAATATCTTCATTGGTACTACCACAGCCACCATCTTGAAACACTGCCGGGATTTCCATTTCTTAACTTTGGTGCTTGTCTACTTATAGTTTGACCCACCCCCACTGCAGTCTATCTCAGAAGCAGTGCCAACTTAATCTTTCTAAAATTCTGCCTCCATCCTACTTTTCTTACCTTTATGAGTTCCAGTTGTTTCCATGCCCTTTAATTTGATATTCAGGGACCTGAAAACAATCTTCTCTATGTCTACCTTTCTGTCTTCCATTTCCCTGCCACTTACACACTTGCTCTAGCCAAACAGGCCAAAAACATGTTGCTGTTTTTCTGCCTTTGCTGTTTTTTCCACCTTGAGCAACTTACTGGCCACACTCTACCTATTTCTATTCCCTATATTCTTTGGTATCAAGTCCTATATCTTATATAATTTACAGTAAAGCACCTTGGTATATATCAGTTCAATACTAAACTCAGGCCTGCCACTAATAGAAATGCACATTGGTGAAGCCTCCCATTAATCCTGCTGACAGCAGCCCCCTCGCCCCCAGTGTTTACTGAGTATTGTTGGCAGTTTTGTCTCTTTGAAGCCTTAGTTATAGGACATTGGCTTCCTGTTGACTGAGGCTTTCATAAGGTTTTCATGGGTTCATTAGAGTCTCAGAGTTCAAATTTGATAGTGTTATACTCTGACAACCAGATCTAGAGGGTAGTCCATAGCAAAATACCTAAAAAATAGTTTAGCTAAAATCATATACTTTTAAAATAATACTAACCTGGCAATCGCATGTGAGCATTTTCTTGTTTAGCTTTTGGATACTTTTCCTTAGCCTTATATATATTAAAACCTGCAAGAGTGGAAGGGATGAATATGATCAAAGTCCATTATATGCATATATGTAAATATCACAGTGAAACTCCTTTGTATAATTAATATATACTAACAGAATTTTTAAAAACATGTACCTTTTTATTCCTCCACATGATCCAGTATAAAGATTAGAATAAGTATTTGGTAAATAAATGAAGAAATATTATATAAAGCTTTGCTTTCCAGGAAATGACATTTCCAAGACTTGTTAGGAACTATATTTTCAGTTAGAATATCTTCTCTCACTTCCTTTCTTGTTGTTGACTTTGTGCTAGTATTATGACAATGTAGCATGCTTTCAAACATACACATCACCAGAGCTAATACTCTGTGATTTAAGCTAATGTCCTTTCAACTGTTTCAAGATGAATTTGCTTCTAAGGGTATAAGCTTTACCAGTTTACAAAAATAAAAAGGACATACAGAGACTTGATTATTCAGCAATATAGGATACATTGATCAAGCTGAGAATTAGTTCCTAAGAAAATGTTCCAAGAACTAGACTAAAATTTATTTACAATAGATATTCAAACTAAAAAAAAAAAAAAGAACTAGTATACTTGTGATGGGCTGCAAAACATGGGACTTCCTGAACAGGCAATATTTTGAAAGTACTTATTGAACTAAATATGCTTTAAGAGTTAAGACAATAAAAATGAAGATCTATTTGCTTAGGGCAAAAAAGCAAAGCTCCCGCCTGTGTAAAATTTGTCACTTTCCAAAATGTATTCATTAATTTTCTGCCACTTCAAGTGTATACTGCAAACTCAGCTTATCATGGGATCATTATATTTAGCTTAAAAGTAAAGCCTTTTATAATTACACTGTTATTTTATCTGTAAAATTTTGAAAAAAACGTACTGATAACAAATGTGTATAATAGAAGCAATAATGACTTGCTTATTTAAAGGATGAAAAGAGACCTTCTACTAAGTGACCATTTATCATTCTGTTTATGACATGTTCTAAAAGTTACTATGCAAGTCAAGTGGATAATCTCTTACTTTTGAAACTGGCAGATTCACACCTAGAATTTTGGGCAGTTGCAATAGCCTGCAGTGGTCTTTGCAGACTCTAGCAAATACTATGATTTGTGTTTTAATATCTGTTATAATTTAGAATGTCATTTCCTAAGAAGCACAATGGGTTAATAATTGACTTCATTTTCTAATGCATGTGTAGAATTTGTCAGAAAGTAATATTCTTTACATTTTTGCCTACTAGGATTACAATTTAATGCAGATAATTCTAATATTTTAAATTCTTTTTGCTGCTCTTTATTTCTTATGATGCTAAAATATATTAGACTTCATAATAAAAGTACTGACTTTTTTTCAAATAAAAAATAATACAATGTTTTATTTTGCTTTTATGAAATTGTATTTTTTTTAATTTTTATTTTTTTATTATTCATATGTGCATACAATGCTTGGGTTATTTCTCCCCACTGCTCCTACCCCCTCCCTTACCACCACTCCACCCCCTCCCTCTCTCCTTCTGCCAGCAGAAACTATTTTGCCCTTATCTCTAATTTTGTTGAGAGAGAGTATAAGCAATAATAGAAAGGAACAAGGGTTTTTGCTAGTTGAGATAAGGATAGCTATACAGGGAGTTGACTCACATTAATTTCTTGTGCATGTGTATTACCTTCTAGGTTAATTCTTTTTGATCTAACCTTTTCTCTAGTTCCTGGTCCCCTTCTCCTATTGGCCTCAGTTGCTTTTAAGGTATCTGCTTATGATATGAGGATAGGTAAGACACCTAAAAAATTAGCTAGCATTTGTTGCCCTCAACACAGAAAAACAAAAGTACTAACTTTTAAGATTTAAAGAGAAAAGTGAATAAAATAACTCAAAGTCTATTTTAGTTTTAAATATCTCTTTAAGTTCCCTCACTGACCATTCTTTACTTACATCCTCCTCTCTTTCCCAGGGTGTGAAGGATTTTTCCAGGGCCTAGTTTAGAGTTCAATAATGATGCCAGTTTGTACATCACCTTTCATAAGAAAAAAGTTAGGTTTCAATAAAGTAATTGGTTGAAATTAGCTTTTTCCTTACTTAGTCATTTTTTTTTAGGTTCTTCCAAGACAGACCTGTGGGCTTTTCACTCACACAATTTTCTACAAAGAATATCCAGGGGGTCCTAAGGAGCTGGATAAGAGTATTCAAGGAGGTGAACTTTTCTTCACTGTGGTCCTCAACCCAGTAAGTACTTGGAGTGATTCTTCAAATAATGATGAAAAATGACAGTGTGGGTAAAAATTATCCTGACAAAGAGGCCAGTGATTGGGTAGTTATCATCAAATCACCATGAAGTCCCAGCTCTAAAACAGTCATAAAAACTGAATTGAACCACATCTACAAATGGGAACACAGTAATTCCACAGTGACATTATGAATTTGTGGCAGAATTGGTAGCGCACTGCAGCAGACCCTCCTCCATGTTGAAAAATGATCATATCTTGCTTTTCTGGAAAATAAGATTTTCACCAACAAACTCTCCTATTTTCTTTAGGTACCAGTTTTCTTCAGTTAGGCAACAATTATCTATTGCTCGGTCTTCTTGCTTTTTTCTATTTAAGGTATAAAAAAATGTTCTCACATTATATAAGTATAAAGGAAAGAAATCAGATGAGCAAATATGACATTGTTCTGCACCATGTAAATCTTACCATGCTAGAACACAAGGCACCCCTGTTTAATTGATTGCTATTCTTCCTTCTTCATTTCTTATGTATCAGCAACGCAGTGAACCAATTGCATGTATTTTTGTACAAAGCAAGTATTTTTAAAGTAGTGTAGTGAAAGAAGAACTAATTGAAGTAAGTTGTATAAGGAAAAACTGTTAGTGATTTTCCCTTGTGCAGGAACATAAAAAGTAAAGCTAAAATTTATTTACTATATATGTGGGTTTGCCCCTGGCATTAGCAATATTCAAGATGAAAAACTATAATTACCTCCAATATGAAAAAAATTCTAACAGGATAAAAATTGCATAGCATTAGAAATAAACAGAATAAAATTTAAAACTCTTCTTGACCTTAATTTTTTTCAGGTCCTGCAAATAAAAACGCAGGTGCTTTTCCTCAGCTACTCCAATAACTAGTTATCTTTTTTAGCTTCTAGAAAATGAGGTAAAAGTAGGGGTAACTTGTCTCTGGGAAAATCTACAAGCGTGTTCAAAAATCGGGATAGTTTGGAATACTGTAGCATTTAGCCTTTGGAAGTTTATCGAATTTCAGACCCCTAAAATGTAAGTAATTTTGATTTATATGTCAGAACTAACCTGATTCTCCTAGATAACCTGTCTTTTACAAATGGTATCTTTTGAGTTACATCATATGGCTGTCTTCTCTTTTCTTCCCAATTCTGCCAAAAATACACAGGAAAAATAGTTAAACTAATGCATGATTATGAACTGCAGACTCAGTTACAATATTCTTAAAATACTAACATTTTCACTAATAACTTTAAGACTCTTTAATCTATATTCAACAAAATTCTGATATTTTATATTTCCTGTCATCATAAAAAAATAGTACTATGAACTACTGTATTTAATTCTTTAAGCCAATAGTTCTTTGGTGCTTAAAAAGGTCCTGGAAGTATGGTTATTTCATAACTTTATAAACCAAGTGATTTTCATCATATGGAAAAAGTTCAAAATTCATTCATTTATGTACAATGGATTTATATTAAAAATTTCATCCATTTTGTGATAAGAAATGTTTCCTTTATTAAGAAATCAAATTATCTTAATTTAAAAATTCCCATAGTAAAGCCTGTATTAATCTTAATACTAATCTAGACTGAGCAGCCCTTTAACAAAACAAATGATTCTCAGACCTTTATCAATAATAATTGGCAATTTTATTTACCTTGATGAAGAGATGCATATGGAATAAACTTCACAAACTTCAGAAAAGTTACAGAATGCAATTACTGTCAGATGAACATTTAGACTCAAACTAAGTTACAAATTTTGTCAGAAACCATAAAAACATACAAGGAATCCAGAACTCTTCATGTGGTACACCAGGTCCAGCTTGGGGGAGCAATTCTACTTACCTGGAAATGTGATTGGGAAGTCTACATTTAGACTCAGTGGAGTCTAGCCAAAAGGAAATCAACTGTCAATAGTCAGTGGCATCTGCCTTGCAGAATGGAGTGAGGAAAAAGGGCCTGTTTTTCATGAGTTCTCGTACTAAAATTAAATGTTTGGATAAAGTTTGTGTTAAGGTTTTAAGACCTCCAGCTCCAGTAAAACATGTTATTAATTTAGCAATGACAGTCCTTTTTATTAGGCCAGAATGAGAATTAGAAAATCTTGATGATCTCAAGGTATGTATTAGCTGTAAGAAAGAGGAATTTTAATTGTGGTGGATTTGAAAAGCAGCCATTGTAAGATCATGTAATAACACAGGACTCCATTAGAAGTACTATTTTCTGTGAATGCTAAATGACACTGTTTACTGCAAAAAGTTAGATGGATGCTGGAGACATGGAACTTAAAAACACTCAGATGCCTTTGAGATTTGAAAATAAAAATATAACCATGGCTGTAATTAATGAAGTTTTTTTCCATGCAAAAATATAATATCAAGGTGTTAGAATAACTTAGTGTTGAATGAGTGGGGCTTCAGTGAAGTATGCTTCAGAGTTAAACTGGAATAGATCACAGCAAAGACAAACTCTTGAGTGGAATAACTTTCTGAAATGTTCCACAGTTAATCAATGTATTTTTTTGTCTAGAGAAGTGTCAATCAGGTGAATTTAATTAAAAAAAAAAGAGTTGCAAAGACAAATGTTAGCAACTATCTAGGGAAGAGAAAACGGCCATCTCTAAATGAGTATGTCTGATGTGGATTTTGATTCATAGACTTTGAGGTTTGGACCAGTAGCAAGGTGAACCCATCAGGCTATCTAAGCCTGGAACTGAAGAATTTAATTCTTCTTTTTCTGATTATAAATTCAACTGTCAACTTTTGACTTGCAATTTGTTTTTTCCTATATAGATATTACTGTAGGAAAAAATGTGTGATCACAGAAACTGTGCTTACTGGCGGGAGTAATTTGTACAATTTCAAAATTTTTCTTTTAATGTGAATACTTCCCACACAGCCTGACTTACCAGGAAAGGACCCTGGTAGCATGTGAATAGAATGAATATCTAAAACTGGGAGTAACATATAGATAAATAACAATTAAAACAAAATTCACAAAAGAAAATAACCTACATAAGTAGAAATTAATCCACATAAAATTTTAAAAATTATAATTTGCATGTATAATATTTGGTTGTCTATAAAATTCGTATGAAAGAAAACAAATTTTTATTCCTTTTTGCTTCTTTGGTTTTTTATTAGTGTATATTGTACAAAATGAAGGGTAACATTGTGATATTTTAGATATGAATTTAATGTACTTTTATCATGTTCATCCCCTCTACTACTCTTTCTTATCCCTCCTACTCTGAACTCTCCCCACTATTTCTAACTCTATTGCAAAAATTTATAATGGGTTTCCTTATGAACTTTCCATACATGCATTCAATGTACTTTTTTTTCTTTCTTTTATTGTTTTTACAATTACTTTCATGTGTATACATCGTTTGGGCCAGTGCCACCTTCTTAGTACCCCCGCCCCCACCCCCGCTTCTGGCAGAACCTGTTCTGCCCTCTTGTTCTCCAATTTTGTTGAAGAGAAAATGTAAGAGATAATAAGAAAGACATAGCGTTTTTGCTAGCTTGAGATAAAATAGCTATACAGAGAGATTCCTAACATTGCATCCATGCACTTGTGTATTGCAACCCACATTAGTTCATCTCTGCCAGACCTCTGTGCTACTTTTTGGTCCCCTTCCCACAGTAATCTGCCAGTTTAACATTACTATAGTCACTCCTCTACAGTGAGCACATCAACCACATTCAAGTTTTAGGTTTCTTTCCCTTTCCATGTTCCTCCTGTGCACATTCTCCCCTTAGTGTGTGACCCATGCATTTGTTTTAGGTCTATAATCTTCCTGTGAGGGAGAACATGCGATTTTTGACCTTCTGAGCCAGGCTAACTTCACTTAAGATGATGTTCTTCAGTTCCATCCATTTACTTGCAAATGACAAAATTTCATTCTTCTCTGTAGCTGAGTAAAATTCCATTGTGTATAAATACCACATTTTCTCAATCCATTTGTCAGTAGTGGGGAATCTTGGCTGTTTCCATAACATGGCTATTGTAAATAGTGCTGCAATGAACATGGTGTGCAGAGGCCTTGTAATAACCTGAGTCACATTCCTTCGGGTTTATCCCTAGGAGTGGTATTGCTGGATCATATGGCAGATCAAGGTATAGTTTTTTGAGAAGCCTCCATATTGTTTTCCAAAGTGGTTTGTACTAGCTTACATTCCTACCAGCAGTGTATGAGGGTTCCTTTTTCCCTGCATCCTTACCAACATTTGTTGTTGGCGATGTTCTTGATAGTAGCTATTCTAACAGGAGTGAGGGGAATCTTAGCGTGGTTTTGATTTGCATCTCATTTATGGCCAGGGATGGTAAGCATTTTTTCATGTGTTTTTTGGCCATTTGGACTTCTTCCTTTAAAAAGTTCTGTTTAGTTCAGTTGCCCACTTCTTTATTGGTTCATTAACTTTGGGGGAGCTTAGTTTTTTGAGCTCCCTGTATATTCTGATTGTCAGTCCTTTGTCTGGTGTATAGCTAGCAAATATTTTCCCACTTCAATGTAGAGACCACTTCCTTTGTTGTACAGAAGCTTTTAGAATCCACGTAGTCCCATTTGTCCATCTTTTCTCTTAGTTGCTGGGCTGCTGTAGTTCTACTGAGGAAGTCCTTGCCTATATCTATTGCTTCCAGAGTATTCCCTGCTCTTTCAAGTACTAACTGCAAGGTTTTGGGTCTGATATTTAAGTCCTTAATCCACTTTGAGTTGATACTAGTACAGGGTAACAGGCAGGTATCTAGTTTCAGTATTCTGCAGGCATATAACCACTTTTCTCAGCAACATTTGTTGAAAAGGATGTCTTTCCTCCATCATATGTTTTTGGTGCCTTTGTAAAAAATAAGGTAGGCATACCTGTGTGGACTCATATTCATGTCCTCTTTTCTGTTCCACTGGTCTTCATATCTGTTTTTGTGCCAGTACCATACTGTTTTTATTGCTATGGCTCTGTAGTATAGTTTCAAGTCAGGTATTGTGATACCTCCAGCATGGCTCTTTTTGTTCAGTATTCCTTAGCTATTTGTGGTCTATTGTGTTCCAAATGAACTTTTAGAGTAGATTTTTCAATCTCTGTGGTGAACATCATTGGGATTTTGATGGGAATTGTGTTGAACATGTAGATTGCTTTTGGTAGTATACCAATTTTTGCTATGTTGATTCTGCCAATTCATGAGTATGGGAGATCTTTTCAACTTCCACAGTCTTCCTCGATTTCTTTCTTCAGTAGTTTATAGTTCTCCTTGTAGAGGTTATTTACATCATTTATTAATTTTATTCCTAGGTATTTGAATTTTTTTGAGGGTATTGTAAATGTAATTGTTTTCCTTCATTCTTTCTCAATTTACTCATTGTTAGTGTATAGCAAGCCTACTGATTTTTGTAAGTTGATTTTGTATCCTGCTACATTGCTGAAGCTGTTTATGGTGTCTACAAGTTTTGGGTGGAGCTTTTTGGGTCTTTGAGGTATAGGATCAAGTCGTCTGCAAATAGAGATACTTTGATTATTTCTTTACCTATTTTCCTTTTATTTCTTCTTCTTCCTTATAGCTCTGGGTAGGAATTCTAGGACTGTGTTAAATAGGAGGGAAGAGAGTGGGCATCCTTGTCTCATTCCTGACATTAGAGAAAATTGTTTCAGTTTTTCCCCATTAAGTATGATGTTTGCTATAGGTTTTCATATATAGCCTTTATAATGTTAAGGTACATTCTTTCTATTCCTAGTTTTCTTAAAGCTTTTATCATGAAGTGGTGTTGAAGGCTTTTTCTGCATCTGTTGAGATGATCAAGTGGTTTTTGTCTTTGCTTCTATTAATGTGATGCATTACATTTATTGATTTGCATATATTGAACCATCCCTGCATCCCTGGCATGAAGCTGACTTGGTCATGATGAGTGATCTTTTTGATATGTTGTAGGATTTGGTTCACAATAATTTTATTGAGGACTTTTCCATCAATGTTCATTAAGGAGATTGGCCTGTAGTTCTCCTTTTTGGAGGTGTCTTTGTCTGGTTTTGGGATGAGAGTCATATTGGCTTCATAAAACGAGTTAGGCAGTGTTCTTTCCCTTTCTATTTTGTAGAAAAGTTTAAGGAGTGTTGTTATTAGTTCTTTGAAGGTCTGGTAGAATTCAGCTGACAATCCATCAGGTCCTGGACTTTTCTTTTTTGGGAGACTCTTGATTGCTGCTTCAATTTCATTCCATGTTATAGGTTGGTTTAGGTGGTTAATGTCCGCTTGGTTCAATATTGGATGGTCATAAGTATCTAGAAATTTGTCCATTTCTTTAAGATTTTCCAATTATTGGAATATAGGTTCTCAAAGTAGTCTCTGATGAGTCCCTGGATTCCCTTGCTGTTTGTTGTTATTGTCCTATTTTCATTTCTGATTTTGCTAATTTTGCTCTTTTCCCTCCTCATTTTAGTCAGATTTGCCAGGGACTTGTCAATCTTGTTTATTTTTTCAGAGAACCAGCTTTTTGTTTCATTCATTTCTTTGTATGGGTGTTTTTTTTTTGTCTCTATTTCATTAATTTCAGCCCTATTTTTATTACTTGTCTTTTCTTCTCCTGTGATTTGATACTTCCTGTCCTCTCATGGCTTTGTTTGCTTTCATATTCTGTGTGCAGAATTCCTTGTACAGTTATCTGTAGTGGTGGCTAGGTTGTCATATATTGTCTTAGTTTCTGTTTATCGTGGAAGATTTTTATTGCTCTGTCAATTCTGAATGATGGTTTTGCTGGGTAGAGTATCTTAGAGCTGAAATTATTTTCATTCAGTGCCTGAAATATCTCACTCTATGTCCTTCTTGCTTTTAAAGTTTCTGTTGAGAAATCTGCTGTGTTTTTGATGGGTTTACCTTTATATGTTTTTTTTTTCTCTCTTACAACCTTCAATATTCTTTGTCTGTGCTTGTTGTTTTAATGATAATATGCTGTGGGGAGATTCTATTTTGGGCAAGTCTGTTTGGTGTCCTGGAGGCTTTCTGTAACTGAATGGGCAAACTTTCTCGAAATTTGGGGAATTTTCTGCTATTATTTCATTGAATATATTATGTATCCCTTTGGCTTGCACCTCTTCTCCTTCTTCAGTGCCCATGATTCTCAGGTTTAGCCCTTGAAAGAGTCACTGAGTTCTTGCATATTCTTTTCACTGCTCTTTGGTTGTTTGACTAAGATTTCTTCTGTTTTTTTCTTTAATTTCTATTTTACCTTCGAGCTTTGAGATTCTGTCTTCTACTTGTTCTAGTCTGCTGGAGCGGCCTTCCACTGTGTTTTTTGTTTGACTAAAGAGAATTTTATTTCCAGGATTTCTGTTTGATTCTTTTTTCTGAGGTTTTCCATATTTTTGTTCAACTCCTCTTTTATATTTTGTGTTGTCACCTGTAACTCATAAATCTCTTTTTATGGTGTCCTTTGTTTCAGTTTGGTGTTCGCTGAAGTCCTCTCTGAGTCCGTTTATTTGGTTCTGTGTCTTCTCATGTCCTTTATTTTTGGTGTCTTGAAATTTCTTGAGTGCATCTTGTACATTCAGATTAACCATGTCTAGTATCTTCTCCATGAATTTCTCAGTGATATCTTCCAAGATTTCTTCTTTGGGGTCCTTAGTGACATTTTATCCTTGTTTTGTCAAGGGCAGAAACTGGGTATCCATTTTCTTCATTTCCCACTGAATCCTGTATTAAATTATCTTTTTTCTTTTTCAAGGAGAATCCTCTTTTTTCAACATGTGCATACATTGTTTGGGTCATTTCTCCACCCTGCCCCCCTCCCCCACCCTTTTCCCCTCCCCCACTCAGTTTCAGGCAGAACCTGTTCTGCCCTTATCACTAATTTTGTTGAAGAAAATACACAAGCATAATAAGGAAGACAAAGCATTTTTGCTAGCTGAGTTAAGGATAGCTATACAGAGAGATTCCTACTATTGCTTTCTTGTACCCCTGTGTTACGACCCATATTGATTCAACTCTAACTGATCTTTGCATTGGTTCCTGATCCCCTGTTTATGATAAACTCTGTCATTTTAAGGTTTCTGTATTAGTTCCTCTGAAGTGGGGACATCAAATGCTTTCATGTTTTGGGTTTTCTACCTATTCCTATATCTCCCATATTGTTCTCCCCTTGTCATGTGATCCAAGTCCAACCACATTACTGCATTTACCCTAGATTTAAAGTCCACATATGAGGGAGAACATATGATTTTTGGTCTTCTGAGCCTGGCTGACCTTGCTCAGAATGATGTTCTCCAGTTCCATCCATTTACCTGCAAATGGTAAGATTTCATTCTTCTTCATGACGGAGTAAAATTCCATTGTGTACAAGTAACACATTTTCTTGATCCACTCATCAGTAGTGGGGCATCTTGGTTATTTCCATAACTTGGCTATTGTGAATAGCACTGCAATAAACATGGGTGTGCAGGTGCCTCTGGAGTAACCTGTGTTGCATTTCTTTGGGTATATCTCCAGGAGTGGGATTGCTGGATCATATGACAGGTCTATGTTTAGATTTTTAAGCATACCTCAAGCCCTTAAATTATCGTTTTGAGAGAATAGTTTCCATCCCTTTTCTTCTTCCCATCAATCCACTTGTTGCTGTGCAACTATGTTCTTGATAGGCTAGTTGGTGGTTTTGATTGCCTGTTTTCTTTCCCTGATTTAGCTTTTGTTTTGTGACTCACTTGGTTGTTAGCTAGGTTGATGTGGTTTTTCTGTCACTGACCTGGAGGTGTAATTTAGAAATAATAAATTCACAGGTCAATGCCAAACCAGTTGTTTACCTATTATATAGAAAACCCCTTGATGATAAAATCTGTAAACAGTAGGAGTTGGGGGGTAATGGTTATTAGGCTAGTTATAGATGTTGGAGAATTGGTAAAGGTGACACTCAAAAGGGGGGCAGGAAAGGGGAGGGGGAAGAGGTATGGGGACTCCTGGGTTTTGTAGCCCTTGTGTGTGTTTGGGTGTATTTCTGTTGTAGTTGAGAGTGCTTGTGTCAGGGATTGCAGAGGGCTGGGGTTGTATACAGTTGGTACAGTAAGCTAATCAGCAGGTGATGACTGTGTAGGAGGGAGGGATAGTGTGTTGGCAGGTTGGGGGAAGATAAGAGGCAGAGGTGAAGACGGGGGAAATAGTGGATGAGAAGGGACAGAAAGAGTAGTTTGGAGGGAGGACAATGGATTGTAGCACAGGGGAAGCAGGGAAGGTGAAGAGGGTAAGAATAAGGATAAGAGAATAGTGATAGTGAAGTTAATAATACAGGGGAAAAAAATAAACACAATAAAAAACACCAGGTTTAGGAACCACAAAAACTTCAGTATTTGGGTAAAAGTTCTAGAGTTATTCCTTAGGTATCTAATCCTGGTATTCTGGTGTTAGCATATAAACAGAAGCTCTGATGTAGTCTCACTAGGCATTGGCTAGTGAGTAGTATTTGGTCCTTCTGTCCACAAAATTAATTAGAATTGTGACGTGATGTAAGACTGCCAGTTCCTGCAGGGTGGTCAGAGCTGTTGTTTCACCAGCCAGCAGCTGCACTGCCCTTCAGCTGCAACTCTGTTTGGTCAGCTGCTCCCCCAGCAAGGTGGGGCAATTCAGTTTCAAATGCTGGCCTTTATCCCAGAGATTAGCTCCAGGATCTACCACCTGCCCTGCTTTGCAACCTTTGGGGGAGGTTGGCCTGTCACTTGTTCTCCCCTTCCCATGTTCTCAGCCTTTGTGCTTCTTCCGACCTCTGCTGGGTGCTACTGGTTCTTCTGGGAGGTTGGCTTGTCACCCCACTCCCACTCTCAGCCTTTGTGCCTTTCTCAGCCTCTGCTGGATGCTAGCAGCTCCTTTGGGAGGTTGGTTTGTCACTCCACTCCTGCTCTCAGCCTTTATACCTCTCCCAATCTCTGCTGGGTGCTAGCAGCTCCTCTGGGAGATTGACTTATTGCCCTGCCCCACTCTCAGCCTTTGCTGCTTTTCCCACATTTCACTGAGAGTTCAGCTTCTTGTGCCACCCCCATTCTCTGGGACAGGTTCAGTGTTCCACCCCACCTGCACTGTCAGTGTTAGATTATAGTTTGCTGCTTATGTTTTTTCAGTTTTGTTGGAGGGGGTTCAGTCTGCCCAGGGGATGCACTGGATTATTTTCCTGGGGGTGGGGAGGGAGTCACACATGGTGCATGATGCTTACCTGTTTTTTCTGCAGTTTCACACAAGCAGCTTTGGAGCCAGCTGGTGGGGAGAAATGGCACTGTTGTTTTCAGTGTGGCACAGAGTAGAGAGGCTTTCCATAGGCTAGGGGTCCAGGATGTCACAGAGTTTAATTCTGATTGATGTTCTGTCTTCTGCTTGTTGGGAGAAAAAAAGAGAAACAGCTGGGTGATTTTTTTTCCCAGGGCTAAACACATCTTGCTGGCTGTGCTGCATGGGATTTTCATGGCTGCTAGGTGCAATTAAAGGCTGATTTAAGGGTCAGTTATTGATTTTTTATCTGCACTTAATGTGATGGCAGTTATTATTTTGGCTAGAAGCAATCAGAATTACCCAAGTGTAGGTCTGACGTCTCAAGGAAGTTTCTGGTGTCACAGAGCTTAGGATTTCTGATTCCCTACCCTAGCCACCATCTTGGATCTTCCACATACAATATACTTTGATCATATTCTCCCCCACATCCTGTCTTTATCCCCTCCCACCTCCCACTGCTCCTCCCCACATAGTCCTCCTTTTATGCTCATATGTGCTTTTTTGTGTCTCCATTCTGCATATAAGAGAGAAAGTGTCCATATTTAATCTTTCTTTATCTGACTTATTTTGCTTAACATGATCTTAAATTCTATCCATTTTCCTAAAAATGAAATAATTTCTTTTGTGCATAATACTCCATACTGTATATATGCCATGTTTTCTTCAATCATCTGTTCATGGACACCTACACTGATTGTATAACTAGGCTATTGTGAATACTGCTGCAACAAACATAGGTGTGCAAGTGTCTCTACTGTATGCTGCATTGCATTCCTTCTGGTATATGCCTAGGAGTGGTGTAGCAGGATTATATGATAGTTTACTCTTAGTTTTTTTGAGAAACATCCATAGTGATTTGCATAGTGTCAGCACTCTCATCAACCGTGTATGAGGAATCCTTTTACTCTGCATTTTCTCCAGCATTTTTTTTATGATAGCCAAGTGATATGGAATCTCAATGATGTTTTATTTTTTCATTTATGGCTAAGAATGTCAAACATTTTTTATATTTTTATTGGACATTTGTATTTCTTTTGAAAACTGTTCAGTTCATTTACCCATTTTTAATTGGATTGTTTGGGATTTTTGGTATTTAGTTTTTGAGCACTTCATAAATTCAGAATACTAAAAACCTTGTAAGATGAACAGCTGGAAAACATGTTTCCCCTTTCTGTAGGTTTTCTTTGCTGTGCAGAAACCTTTAATCTGATGCAATTCCATTTTTCAGTTCTTCCTCTTATTCCCTGAGGTATTGAGGGAGTCATATTCAGAAAGTCATTTTCTATACTTACATCCTCAAGTGTTTCCCCTATGTTTTCTCTAGTGCAACTTTTTATTCCCTAATGGGAATGTTATATTTCTTTTTTTTCTTATTTACTATTCCTGTAAAATATTCTGGCAATAGAAATCTCTGTTGAAAAGTTAAAAAAAATGATAAGAAAAAAAACTTCAGACAATAGTAGTAATTTCTGAGACACTTGATTTTAAGAAATCATATGTCATTTGTCAGAATTTCCAGGGGAGAGTATGGGGACTCTGCATATTTCCATGGACTTAAGGTGAGTAAGTCAAAAATAAAACAAAGAAAACTGATGTTTTGCCAAGTGATCAGAGCACTTTAACATAAACTGCAGCTTAAACTAAACGTAACTCCAATTCATTCTTTAAAACTTAGCTTAAGGGTCACTCTACTGTGTTTTAGAGGCTCCTTGTTTTGTTTCCATGGAGTTTCTGCAGACTCACTGAAAGTCCTTCTTATCTGTATTGTCATTGTAGGTGCTATTAAGCTCTATATGCTCCTGGTAACAGAGAAAGTGTTTTTTATTTCCAAAACCATCCCAGTGCCTAACCATGATACCTTGTACAAAATTTTAAAGTGATATACCCTGCATTTGTTAAGGAAGAAAATCTGACTTTTCTAAAGAGCTGGTATCAAAGAACAATGAAAAGCCAGTATCATATCTGTAATCCCAGGTACTTTGAAGACAGAGATCAGGAAGACTGTGGTTCAAGGCCAGCCAGGAAAAAGTTATTGAGACCCCTTCCACCATCTGTAGAACAAGCCAGGCATGGTGATTCTTGGCTGAAATTCTAGCTATATGAGGTAGGTAGAAGGACTGTGGTCTGATGCCAGCCCAGGAAAAAAAGCACAATACCCTATCCGAAAAATAACCTAAAAGCCAAAAAGGCTATTATGTGGGTGAAGTAGCAGAGTGCTTGCCTAGCAAATGTGAGGCTCTGAATTCAAACCCCAGTGCCACCCAAAAAATAGTAATAAAAAAGACAATGACTCTTAAAGGAAAGGAAATCTAGGTCCTAGTAAGATAGTTTTCAAGTCTAAATTATAACTAAACTTGAATGGAGCTGAATTATCTACTATTGAGTAGTGATCTTCACACATCTATTTGTCTTCCTATTTAGAGATTTGTTTTTGTTAAGTTTCTCTGGTTGAAGGACAAAAGGCTCACATAAGCTATCTCAGGCAATGATGTGTGGGACTCCAGAAAGCTGAATATTTTGGAATCACAGGTCCTATAAGGTGTTCTTAGTCTAAGGCATCTCTGAAGTCAATAACAATGAGAGTTATGAATCGTGGTCTTGCCTCAGTACATTAACATGAACACAATAGATGGTTTTCATGTGTCTGAGTGTCCCTTTTCTCTCTTGCTGCTGTATTTGGTTTCTGTACCCTCATTAGTTAATCTTACATGTGGCCCAGTGTGATTACATCAGATGTTCTCCGTATCAGGATACAACATTAATTCCAATGCTGACTGTTTATCCTCTTGTGGTTTCTGTTTGGCCCAGCTCATCATTTTGAGTCAGTCCATGTCAGTCTTGGCCTACTATGAAATGGTTGCCCTTGCTTCAAACTGTGACTGAGCCAGGCTCCTAAGGACCGTCCTTTCAGAAAAGACTTGGGAGAGACTGGCATTATGGCTGCTGCCTAGCCTGGATCTAAAGCCTGTGGGGATGGTCTTCAACAAATGCTAGAGATTTGGGACAAACTGTGCCTCTTTAGAGAAGATCTAATAATTTTTGCATCTTATAAATTCTAAGTAAAAATCATTTTTAGATGGGATTAATTATTTTTATCATTTTATGATCTGTCTTGCTTTATGTCCTCTTGGAATGCAAGTTCCAAAAAGGCAGTACATCTGTGTGTTGTTTGCGCCATAGTGCTATATCCTCAGCCCTATAAAAGTTCCTGACATATAGCAGATACTTATAAAAATATTTTGTAAATGAATACATCAACATTAAATATGAAAAATGGGGGGTATAAACAAACCAAATTATGTTCCCCCCTCATAATGCAGTACAGTCAGCCATTTAAAAATTATGTTGTATACTAATTTTTGAGTACATGACAAATTGTCATGTTATGTTCTGTAAAAAAAGTAACTTACAAAAAAATTAGATATGACATGGAAATAAACTAGATGGAATTCATCAGAATATTAGCAGTGACTATCTTAGATCAGATGATTGAAAATGATTTTTATTTTCTCCTTTTAATCCTTATATTTCTACATATATACATGTATATATTCATCTACATAATTATGTGCACATGTGCATATGTAATGTACTTGGATCCTCTTCATAGTTCAGTATCCTTTCCTTTCCCCCTCCCCCTACTGCTGATCTCCCAAACTTAGACAAGTCCCCCTTCTACATTCATGTCCCATTATTGTTATTCTCATCATCATCATTTTAGGTCTAGATTCTGAAAATAATCAAAAACATGCAATATTTGGCTTTTGAGCTTGGCTTAGCTCTCTCAACATGATGACACCTATCACTCTTATAACCAGAAACCTAATAAGCACACACACACACACACACACACACACTATAAATGCTACATTAAAAACAACGATAAAGAATTATCTAATAGTGAAGGATACAAGATGGAATTTTTTTAGGTTATCAGTGTATCAGGGATAGAATTAACATTTTCCTAGTTCAAAATGTTCTCTATTTTTAAGTCTCATATTTTGCCTAATGCTTGCCTCACAGTGTGATCATTTGTGTGTGCATCTTTTCTTCATATAAGAAAGATTTGTATGTGCCTCATCTTTGTGTTTCCAGTTGCCTCTAGATCAGTGTTTTGAATGCTGTAAGAGACCACTAAAAGTCTTTTAAATGACTGGCTGCATGAAGAATTAAGTTTCAGGGCATGACTTGATTTGTGGCATATCCAAGTGTGAATAATAACAAGGCTGGTGATTTTAATAAAACTGCATTTTAGCAATCTTTCCTCACAAGTAAATGAAATTTGAGATTCAGAATTTTTTTAAGTGGCCCTAAATCTTTAATGGGTTTTCACAGGTGATAGTGAATTTGCTTGAATGGGACAATTTGCTGCTAAAGCAGGAAGAGACCAGAAAGGTTATCTATTCCATCTCCTAATTTTAAGTGAGGATCTGGAGTCTCAGTGAGATGAGCAAGCTTGCTCAAGGTCACATCTGTATTATTCTGATGAGAACCTTAACTTTCTTTACTCTTAGTTTAGTGCTTCTACCACTGTACTACACCACTTCTATACTTCTGGTGAAATTGCCCTTAATGTGATGCACGTTAGCGCTTAATGTGACTAAGTTACCTGGCACTGGGAAAATGTGTAAAGTGTTTGAAATTTTGGGCCATTATCTAGGAAAAGGCAGCTCATCTCTATGTTGGATGAAAAAACATAATAACAAGTGCTTTAGAGAAAGGCTGTAATAAGCAGTTATATCTAAAGAAAACTGTTTTGTGTACTTTTAAAAAGCTATAAATAACTATGTTCTTTTTTCTTAAAACAATAAGTCATATTTACATTGCTAACAAATTGATAAGATGCTTCAACTTGCAAAGCCAAAACTTTTTATCTCAGTCATTTGCTATCCTCTGTATCAACTACATTTTTTATCATGAATGTTCTTCCCTACTACCATGGTTTTATATAATTACTTGCCAATGCAAGACTAAGAAAATTACAAAAAAGCAGGATTAGTATTTTTGACCTCCACACCTAAGAAAAACAGGAGTCATTGAACTGTAGAGTACTAAGAAATTTAAGAATATAGATAAATAAGAAATGGAATTAAATAGACAA